CCTGCTCCCCTTCCGGTTCTTTCCCTCCGTGCATTGGGACCGAGGCTCAGGCAGGTGAGACCGTTTCCCCACTCTAGAAGTTCTCTGGAGCCCAAGCCAACATGTGTATGCATGTACGTGTGTGTGTGTGCACATATATACATGTATCTGTTTACCCCTCTGACTGGCTGTGAAGGAGTGGTGGTGGTGGTGATATTGGCTCCGAGTTAGTAAAGGCACCCTCCCCCGCAAGTGGACCCAGCTCCGTGAATGTAATGGCTCGTGGAGTTGGGTGGATTTCAGCCCTTCTCTCTCTGCCTTGGGGCAAAATCCACACAGCCACACGTGGGGGCCCTGTGTGAGGGATGGTGAGATGCCGGTAGGATAGGGCCTGAGTAACGGTGTTGTGCCCTCCCACCCAGGCTCCAGGTTTACCTGAAGTTACGATGTGACCTGCCCCCAAAGAGGTAAGTGGGGGTAGCCAAGCTTAGTCCAGCTACGTAGGGTAGGAGACAAGGCCAAGATACCTGCTGTTTCCACCTTCAGGTGCGGCCACCAGCCTCAGAATCCAGCTTAGAGGCTCTAGAGTTTGGGAAGGGGGTGGGGTGGCACTTGTGCAGAACTCCAGTCATGACAGTAATGTAGATGGGACACGTCACGACCTTCCTGGGGCTGACTCTGGTCCTTTTTTCCTTGCAGCCAGGCTCTCAACGTCAGGCTGCACCTTCCCCTGCCACGGGGGGTGGTCAGGTGAGCATGTGTGCACCGGGGGCCCGCGGGTGGGTTTACCAGCTTCCCCGGACAACAGGGCGGCACTGGGGGAGGAGAGAGGGAGCTGTGGGACGGCAGCGGCTAACCCAGCGCCATTCCTCTCCCAACTCCAGCCTGTCTCAGGAGCTGAGCAGCCCCGAGCAGAAGGCAGAGCTGGGGGAGGGAGCCCTTCGCTGGGACCTGCCTCGGGTGCAGGGAGGCTCTCAGCTCTCAGGCCTTTTCCAGGTATCAGCCGCTAAGTCTCGAAGGCCCTCTCCTCCCGCCTGCACTTTCAGCCCTGACCCATAGCCTCCTAATGCGGTCGGTCCGCGTGGTCAGCTTCCTGGCCCCTTGGCTTCCCTGCCCTCCTTCCTGTTGAGGCCTTCAGCACCCTCCTCCTGCCTCTGCCCCTCACAGATGGACGTCCCGGGCCTCCCCGGGCCTCCCGGCCAAGGCCCCTCCACCTCGGCTCCTCCTCTGGGGCTGGGCCCCGCCAGTCTCTCGTTTGAACTTCCCCGGCACACATGCTCTGGCCTCCAGGTTCGCTTCCTCAGGCTGGCGTTCAGACCATGCAGCAACGCCAATCCCCACAAGTGGGTGCGACACCTAAGCCACAGCGACGCCTACGTCATTCGGATCTGAGGCTCCCAAACGAGGACACAGGTGGCAAAGGAGGTGATCTGTGCATCAGGAGAAGGACAATGTTTCCTCTCCCGGCATCCTGGCCTGTGGCTGTGGCTCTGGCTGGAAGGGTCCTGAGTCCTAGAGAGCAGGGGGGCTCCACGGACTCAACTGCCCGTCCGTGGGATCTGACCCAAGAAGGACTGAGGTGGATCACAATTTAAAAATCAAACTTTTATTCTGAGGAACTGACTGTACAATACTGAAAGAGAAAGTCACGTGGGGGAAGCTGACTACTATTTCCTTCCACCCAGCGCGCACGCGTGTGTGAGAGAGAGAGAGAGAGAGAGAGAGAGTGTGAGTGAGTGTACAGGGGAGAGGTCAGCAGACGTGTGACAGCATCAAGGCGCAGGCGGAGGGGAGCCAGATCCGGGGGGCTGTGAACCATTAGCCTTCGGAGTCCCTGGAGCAGGAGGGGGGCTCTCCCCAGCTTCCGGTTTCCCCCCACATAGGGCGCTGACCCCAAGAGGGGAGGGGGCTGAAGTCGGGGGAGGGGCTGGAGAAGGATGGGAGGTGGGGCCTCCTTTGCCCTCCCCTGTGGGGGGAAGAGAGACCACGATGTACTTCTGGACACTCCCGGGACCAGAGGGGGCAGTGCTGGGGGGCGCGCTTGTGGCGGTGGAGACCAGCTTGACGATGGGCTGCACGCTGGGGACGGTGGTGGTGACAGGAGAGGTAGTGGTGGAGCCTGAGCCAGGGGCCGAGGTGCTGAGGGACAGGACCTGGGCGGGGAGAAAGGCAGTGCCGCTCGCCTTGCACTCTTCCCACACCCGAGGCCGGGGGATACTTCCCTTGCTCCAACCAAATAATCAGTGACATGGTGACACAGTCCCCACCATCCCTGGTCCCACACGGCTCCAAATACCTGTTGGGTGGATGAGGCGCTGGAGGATGACGACATGACAATGAACTTGGTTGGGGGAGGGGAAGGCTGAGGCGGGGCAGCAGCTCGAGCAGACACCAGTGTCTGGACAGGCAGCGCAATGGAGCCAGGGACCTTCAGCAAGCCAGGGGTCCGAGGGCCAGGCTGGGGGGCCTGTGAGAGGGTCAGCGTGGGCCGGGGCTGTAGGAAGAAGCAGCAGGAAGAAAACGTCACCATCTATGAAAAATACCAGCTATGAAAAGAAGGGCTCCTCTTGCTCCTCGTGGGTCTCACTGGGTTTGGGACATCATCACAAAGGGGGCCTAAACACCCCCAAAGACGGCTGACTCAGGGGGCCTGTGTTTTACAAAAGTCAGTGTGTGTGCCCAAGTTCGTGGTGTCTGTGAGTCCCGCCTGGATGGGAACCACTGCCGTGTTTTTCTTCATTTTCACCTTACCACTTGCTCACCTGTCCTCCCTGGACCCTGTACTGACCTGAGTGATCGTCAGAGTGGTCCTGTTGACCTGCTGAGCCTGCAGAGCAGCCTGGGCCCGGGCCTTGACAACGTGGGAGCAGAGGAGGGGCCCAAGAGACCCAAATTCTGCCCGATAGGCATCCTGATTGTCAGGCGGTGGGCGCAGCTTTGCCAGAACAGGGGCACAGTGTTTCTGCAGAGAGAAGGCAAAGAGCAGCCAGGTAGAGGGAGAGCAGTGACTCTGAGAATCATGACAGGGGAAGGGGTGAGAAAGGAGGTCACCCACTATTTCAGTGTGTTCCTGCTGGAAGCCAGGCTGTGCTGGGTTATCAGTGTGTAAGGAATGCTGTGGTTTTTCTTCATAGAGAACTTGGGCACCAGCTGGTGGGAGTGGAGAACTTGCTGAGTAATTACGCTGGTGATATTTAAGGGCCAGCCGGTCCACAGGGCATGTGTGTTGCACAGAATGGGCCAGAGTGGTGCAGAAGCATCAGGGGCAGTGCAGGCTTGAAGTCACAGGCTGAGAGTTAAGACTCTTATTTCTTACTTAACCCCTTAGTGCCTCAGTTTTTCCAGCTGCGAAACAATATGGGACTCTGAGGTGTGCCCTGAACGTTAAGAGGCGAAGATGGGATAGATGAATGGAAGATGCTGTATGTTTGCTAAACATTGTCCTTGTGTGTGTGTGGTGGGGGGTGGAGAGGGGGATCAGTGGGAAGAAGTGGGGGAGGGCGAGGGTGGGGCTTTGTCACCAGGAGGAGGCTCTGCACGTGGTCAGCCCCTATGCGGTCGATGTTGCTCAGCACGGGGCCATCCAGGACCCCGCGGATCCGCTCCCCCTCCTGTTGTAGCCGCGGCAGAATCAGAGTCTTAATCACCTGTTGGAAGAGAAGGGGAGAAGCCGGGGCCCTGGGGTCACCACAGGGTCTCCCGGGTCAGGGGGCTGTTGCCCACTCCGACCTCACGATCCCTCCCCTCCCCCAGGGCTCCCCCCCGCTGGGGCCTAACATCATGTCCCAGCTCTGCCAGGCCTGCGATGGAGCCGTAGCGCGTTGTCCACGGGGTCTTCTCATCCACCCAGCTCTGTAAGGGGATGGAAAATAAACCCAAATAAAGGGGTGTGAAAAGCTAACTACTAAGGACCGAAGTCTCTCATACACACATTTTCCTTGTAAACCATTAAGACATGACAGCTCCTTCCCAGCCACCCTCTCCTCCCCAAAGTAGCCGCTATTCTGACCTCTACCACCAGAGATTAGTTTTTCTGGTTTTTGAACTTTAAGTTAATGGAATCACACAATTAGGAAAAAAAAAAAAGACACCACAGATGCAGCTCAAGTCCCAGTCCCCGTCCCCCTGCCCTCTTGCCCTGGGTTTCAGCATCATTTCCTGCAGCCACACTGGTTTGAGTGAAGCTCTCATTGTTCTGCTGACAACCCCAGGTAGTGATGGGAAACGGCTCACCTTGGTGAAGGTCTTGGTGATCCGGGACTGGATGTTGTTAGTGGTTGTGCTGAAATGCTTGCAGATCTGGGCCACCAGGCGGGCGGCAAAGTCCCGGAGCGCCCAGTGATTGTCCACATCTGGCCGCAGGCACAGCTGTCTGCTCACGATGCAGGTCATCACAGCCGGGATCAACTCATGCACCTAAGGGAGAAGCCTCGAGTCAGCTGATTCTGACAAACGGTCTCCTGCGGGTGGTGGCAGGGTCCCCAGAGCCTGGGATGAGAGGTGGGCGGTCAGGTCCACTCACGTATTTCTCTAGATACAGAGTAGGGTTGTCCATCAGCGCCTTCACCATGCGCATCAGGTAGATGAGCAGGGCCAGGTTGTTCTGCACCACGTTCACGCGCACCTGGTTGGGGGGAGAGAAGCCATGGAGCAGCGGGACCCTTCCGGTGAGCTTCCTCTCCCTCCACCTCACCCCGGAACCTTGTCCTAGGTCCCCCCCGCCACGTCCTCTCACCCCCTCTGAGATGAAGGTGCTGAAGCGCGGCAGCATCTGGTAGAGCCCTGGATCCGTGGCGATGCTCTGCAGAGCCTCCTGTGGGGGGAGGGGAGCGAGTGAAGAGGAGCCAACACTGGGGGCGGGGGGGCGGGGGGGGCCTCTAAGGGGTAAAGCCAGGACTGGGTGGCGGGGCCTCACCGCTCTCTTGGCCTCACATGAGCCCACACAGGCTTCTGTGATCTCCTTGTAGTACAGCTGCTGCTCCACAGACAACTCGTGGATGCTTCGGGGCTTCAGTCGCAGAGGCGCCCCCTCCAGC